TCCCACGACAGAGGTTTTTTCCGAACTAGTGGTTATTAAACAAAAGAGTAACTTTTAATAAGTAAATAAAATAAAATAAAAATAAAAAAGCCTTTTATTTCATGCATTGCACATAACATTTTCTTGTAGTAATAATAGGTTATAAATGGACTGTTACATTGTTTTTGTTACTATCTCATGAGTGAATAGTTATATTTTTTTGTCCCTTTTATTACATTTTTATTTTCATTTCTGTCTCTCATTATATATTAATTTAAATGAAATTAAATTTATTTAAATTTAAATTAAATCAAATAAAATATTAAATGTACTTGTTATAAATCATTTATTTCTTTTAATATACATACAATTTTTGGTTTTCAATATAATTAAAAAATAGTATAAAATGAAAATAAAATTATAAGAAAATAAAATTATAGATTTAAAATAGAATAAAGGTTTAAGATTAAAAAATACCATGCATGAACCCCTCAAGTAGTGAGGGTGAAGGCCTCCTCCAGAGAACTCCAGCGGTCTCGGTCTTTGGCTTCCGACATCCAGTTTTTGCCTGCGACTCGGGTGATGTCGTCTGACCATCTATATGTAGGTCTTCCTCTTTTCCGAGTGCCTGTAGGACCTGGCCATGACGTCATACGAATTTTCCATCGCTCGTCGTTCATTCTCGCTACGTGTCCTGCCCACCTCCATTTTAACTTTAGAGCGTGTGTGAGGGCATCTTTTACTCTTGTCTTTTGCCTGCAAAAAAAGGCAAAAGACTTTTAATAAGTATTACATATTTATAATTTACATTGAATAAAACGTTTCTGTTTCTGTTTCTTTACTGAATGCAGCATTAAAATAGAAATAAAAATGCTACATATTTATTGTTGCAAAAGAAATAAAATGTTTTGAATTCGCATCAATATAACGTACGATGCGATTGTATTTTATTAATTTTATTGAAATATTTGTTGAGACAAAGGAAATTACTTATCTTTTCTAACTGTAACTAGCCTTTGTCAAAAAAAGAAATATTTTATAACAAGTCATTTTGCATTTCATTCACTACAAGGGTAAAGCTCGCATTTTGGGTGTTTTAAGAACATTCCAAACAAAACGTACAAAGTTAGTATTGATATCTTTATATTATTTTTAATGGGAGAAAGAGCATATTGTAAACTAGTGACCCGCCCCGCCTTCGCCTGGATAAGATCTATTAATATGACGATATTTAGGTTTTAGATACACAAAGAACGTTTTTATTTTATAAATTTATCTTATTTAAAAAAAATCATTAAGTTTTTCGGATAAAATATAGCCTAGATCAGTACGACCGCGGCACAAGTGACGGAGTAAAAATATCCACCACTCTATGTTATCTCGTGGGTGCTGTAAGAGGCGACAAATGGGGAAACAAATTAGGAGATGGGTAGCAGCGTCTTCCTAATAACGACTGAAAATAAAAATAAAACTGCGATTGCCAACCCGCTTGCCAAGCATGATAACAATTGCAAATATCCCCCCAGGCAATCTATGGAGCAAGCCTATGTTCAGCTGTGGACTTGTGATGGGCTTTAGTCACCCAGAGTAGTAATGGCGTCACTTGCTAAAGACTCACACCGAAGTTTCATTTTCGTGGTAATTCTATTACAAATAATAGCGAAGGGTCAAAACTGAATTCCGTACTTCAAGGTCTTACAAATGTAACATACTATAAGAAAGCTTTTGGAAGCCATGGAAAGGGCTCACTAATGGATTCCGAATAATCAAGAAATAAATGGCCTTTCTCATCGCTTGTGTCCATTCTTTGGGCATTTCTTTCGTTTAGATTTGTTATTAAAATGTTAATAAATTATTCCAGGTAATTTTTAAAGATACTATACTATATTGTAGCAGCCAGGCTAATCAACCCTAAATAATATATACCCTGCTGCTACCATAACACAGAAGGCGAAGAAAACATTTATTTCCTAATTATCCCCGGATACGGCCGAGATAATTTGACGCATATATTTAACGTTCTAATAAAGAAACAAGAAACAGCCGCAAATATCATTCAGCGCCACATCGTCTTCACGCGCCGCTATGTACCATTTTTGAACCGTTTCTTCAATGCCGCAGCTCGCTTCTTCTTGCTGTTCCGGAGCTGTGTTCCACGCCGCTGCCGCTCGCCGACTACGCGGCTACGCGCGCGCGCCGTGCTGCACAACTTTTATAGCCCAGTCCAGCAACGTAGCTACGAGAAGATATACACGAGTCTCACGCCGGAAATGGAACGCACATAATATTTGATTAATCTTTATTGGTCATAATGTATGAAATGTAATTGGCTACGCAAATAAAAATTGTAACTATTGGTAAACTAACGACGTAGCCGGACATATAAATAGACAGGATTGACGTAAAATATATTCCATATTCCATACTCCATGCTCCATTCGTCTGCACATCAAAAAAGTAGTTTCATTTCTCCACCACTTAAACACTTGGAGTCAATATATTTTAAAAACTAAAAACAAAAAGAAAGTTTGTTTTTAGGTTTTACGCAAATTATATAACAAAATGACTTATGACTGTAATTATATATTGACATGTGAGCAATAAATTTATATACTTACAATTTAAAAAAGGAATATACAACTTATATATTTTTAACGTTTTTTCGTAGCTTCAACATCTATAGAAATTGACTACACTCTAAAGCCAAATTTAATTTTTTTTTTATTAAAAATGGGCTCACTTTTACCCCCTCCACTTGTAGCCTGAGGGCAAAGATGAGGTTTACGTTGGAGCGAGTTTGCCCATGAGAAGCCTGTTAACACGCAACTTGACGAGATTCAAGTTATAGTCACTCGGAAAAACAGACGCTGGCAGGCATTCCACTCCTTGGCTGTGCGCTTTATGAAAGATGACTTACAGCGCTAGTGCGAATATTCGCAATATCAACCAAGTGTGGATGGTAATCTGCAATACGTCTGGTACTCCAATAGGAGAATTAACATGGTGTTATGAGATTATGGAGCTCCTAGGCACACTCTCCGATGAACAATCTGTAGAAGACCGACAAACGAGCAACTTTGTGGTGGTGAGCTAAGCTGTGAAGCTTAGTTTCCACTAGCTTTTTGTCACCGATAAGCCCCTTGGTTCTGCGTTGCACTGAGTCGAGTGCGGCAAGTAGATATTTAGCTATCTCAAAGATAATTACAATACTCAATGCATGTTCTGACTTGAGCTTTATATAAAGTAAGAAACTGTCCAGACGTAAAGTATCGCTTTAACTTGTTTAAAATAGCCAGCTGTTTGTCCGCTGTTTGTGCTTTCGACTCAATGTTAGCGCCGAAGTTGGGGTCAGTACTCAACTGTATGCCGGGAAGCTCAAGATGATGAAAGTAAGATTCAGATCGAACGGACTCCGTTTTGCGGAGAACAGAAAGTCCTGCGTTTTCGCGGCGTTGAAAGTTGAAGGTCACATTTATTCGTTTTACCATAGCCTCTCTGAGTAAACGTATTCTTGTGCCTCCATCTGTTGCGCTGGACATAACTCTCTTAGTGACTGTGCCGTCTTCTACATACCCAACAATACCTGGTAGAAGTAAGCCATTGGCAGGAAAAGAGTCGCAGAGAGAACACACCCCTGAGGAACCCTGTCAATAATATGTATTACTACTTATAAGCAAAATAGCTCAAATATAACAATGATACATTTCTTGAAATATATTTACTGTAAATACGTTGTTATATAGAGTTTGTTTAATAGCGCCTGTCTGTCAAAAATGCTACTCGTAACAGAGTAAAAAGTTCAATTCAAGAAAGTACCTAGTAGTATAGATATATTACTACATTTATAATACTTATACAAGAGCAATAGTAATAAGTAAAACCATAAAAAGTAAAACCCGAGTTCGAACCCCACCGGCACCAATAAAATTGTTAGTTGCAATTTTATATGCTGATTTACCACGTGAGGAAAAAAACCTGCATGTCTGAGAAATAAGAAAAAAATTATTTTGATGACATGTGAAATTCGCCAACACGCATTGCGGCAGGACACTTCCTTGCCTTAAAACCCGCTCATAAATGAGAGGATGCCTATGCCCAGCAGTGGGACGTATACCGGCTGTTTTTTTTAAAAGTAAAATAACAATAATATATGGATCTCAGCTGGGTAATGTGGAACGAAAAAAAATCAGAACTTTATTTTGGAATAGTTGTATTATGTTGCCTAATGACATTAGTTAGTTCCATTTAAAATATAAATATTATCAGACAGCGGTTAAAGCCCCCGCCAAGACACCAAACATTTACAAAAATGATAATTTAGGGTCTATTTACACATCCTACAAAATAGTACAGAATTCATTACAATTCGTTTATTTTATTCAAAAAGATGTTCAAATATAGTAAACAAACTGTCGCAATTAAACATTTCATTATTTTAATATAATTTGGCGCTGGGACTGAGGAGAAAAGAGCGGGAAAATCTACGAATTGCAGTGTTTTGTTTTAACTAGTGTCGATAATTGTCTCAAGGTGAATGGTCTCGCTGTTCAATTATTTTCACGAGTACTTATTAATTTACGTTTTTAAGTGTATTTACATGACTTCTACGAGACAAAAGTTAAAATGTCCAATATTTGGTGAAAGTGCAGAGTTGAAAGAGAATATTCTTCCTACGTATGAAAATGTGATGAAATTCTATGAATGGGTACGACAAGACTTAAAAGTAAGAAATAAGACAATAAAAGAACCTACGTTTTTGTAAATTGCCGAAATAGTTGCAACGAAAATAGAAGAATTGTGGATAAAATCTTCTATTCCAATTGTCACACAAAAACGAGTTTTACAGTTAATAAAAAATTATCACTCAAAATGTTATAATTTGAAAAAGTCTTTGAAGAAACTTAAGGAAGAAGAGTTTAGAGTACAAAGTAGAAAGCTTTTTGACATAGCTGCATGTAAATGTAAAAACTATATAAGCTGTACTTGTGTGAGAGAAAAAAAAGTACCAAACAAACAGACTAATGGTTCTAGGAAGAACGGATCTTTTCCAGAGTAAAAAATTGCAGAATAGAAGATTACGTGCTCTTAAACATGAAATCGGGCATATTTCAAATATAAGAATTAAAGAAATTCCTTCTACTTCGTATCGGCTAAATAGATCTGAAGTTTGTTCTAATGTCGACCTTCCTTCTTGCTCGTCGGCCGCACACAGTATTGGCACCACTCAAACAGTGGATCAAAAGCCTATAAAGTTCACGGATGCCAGTCTTCATAGTTTGACGACAGTATGCGTTAGGTACGAAGTATCAGACAGAGCTGCAGCGGCTATCGTATCATCTGTTCTATGTTCTGCTTCTGATGCCGACTCTGAGGCACAGTCTACTAACGTTGTGGACAGGATGAAACTAAGAAGAATAAGACAGAAAGTACGCGAGCAAATTTTAACAGAAGAAAGAGTTAAAGAAATTCCTTGCATTATATTTCGATGAAAATAAAGACAAGACGGCTAAAACTGTATTAAAAGGATCAAAGAGGTTTAGAGTGATTGTACAAGAGGAACATATTTCGATTATGAAAGAACCAGGTTCTGTTTACGTTGGGTATGTTGTTCCAGCATCGGGCAGTGCAAGAAATATTGAAAGAGCTATCCACAGCTTTTTGACGATTGAAAAGATATGACTAGAGAGTATAATTGGCTGTGATAGAACAAATACAAATACAGGAAAAGTGGGAGGCGTGATTCGTCTTTTGGAAAATAGACTATCTCGACCATTGCAATGGATAATTTGTCTCTCACACGCAAATGAGTTGCCATTGAGGCATTTGCTTACCTATTTGGATGGGCTCTACTTCAGGACCTAAATCATTTACAGGGCAAATTGGTAAATCATTAGAGACATGCGAGAGGTTGTTGTTGGCCCACTTTGAGAAGATAGACTGTGATCTACCTCCACAAATAAAACAGATCTCAGTACAGACCAAAAATATTTATTAAATATTATTACTACTGCCATAAGTGGATCCTGCTCTCCCGATTTATTAAACCGAGCTATAGCTGGTTAACAAGAGCTAATCGCATACTGCTTTTATATATTTCTACTGAAAATCCACAAGAAAATCTTGTAATTTTAGCTACGTTTGTCGTAAAATCATACGCCTCTGTCTGGTTTGCTATCAAAACACATTCATCCTGCAAAGATGAATCAAAACATTTATGGAAGCTCATTAACAGCACTACCTGTTTTAATTCGAAACAGTTACTTTGCTCATCCCGAAAACATGTTGTTAAGTATGATAACAGATTCACGGAAGAATATTAGAGAACTCGCTGCAAGATGCATTTTAAAAGCTCGTCAAGCTAATAAAAATTCTGTTCCGCGCATGTTTGAGGTGCCAAAAGTGAACCTTAATTCACGTTGTTACATAGAATTGATTCACTGGCAACAAAATATATACGAACCGCCAATACTAAAGAATATTTCTGATGAACAGTTGCAAGATCTCATTGAAAATGGAAGAGATGCAGTTTTCGAGTTTATGAGACTACCTTGCCACACCCAGGTTGTGGAAAGATCAGTTAAAGTTGTGACAGAAGCAGCTCTAAGTGTATGCGAAAAGAAAAGAAGAGAGGGATTCATAAATTCTTAATTGGCATCTCGAAAAGTCATGCCAAAGTTTGAGACGAAAAAGGATTTCTGCTTTAAAAAATAACATTATTCATAGAGACATAACTTTTTTAACCTGTATTCACATTTAAAATAAACTATTTTATTAATAAAAATAATCTTTATTTTATTATTTCCATGCATAACATATAACATTTACTTCTAATTTTGTATGTAGGGTGTACACTACAACGCGTCTAATAAAACTTGAAAAATGAAATTTCAAGTATATGGCGGGAGTTCAGGCAGTCGAGTTAGAGTTTTATATTAAGGTATATTATTAACAATTACATAAAGCAACTTTTATATGGTATTCCAAAAAGATTTTAGAAAAATTTTTTTTTCATACAAAAGTGTTCCACCCTAGCACATACATTCTCAGATTTGGAGCGATGAAGAGTTTATGCCTTTGACGCGCTGTCTTGACACATTTTGTTCCTTATACTATTTAAAAATGTGGATTTAGTAATAAAATGTATGTTTTTAATGTATTATCATTCACTAAAGAAATTCTACAAAACCCCTTTACAGGTGGGGAGGGGTCACCGCCTCACTCCCCCCGCTTTCCGGAGGGTTGCCCATATTGCTTTGGTTCCAAAAAAAAAAAAACAATAGAAAATTCAAACTCTTAGAGGATGAAATATATTGTACCAGTTTTTACGAAACTTTTTAAGGGACTAATTCATATTTATATTTTTTTTTAAATAATTATCTAACTTAAAAATTAAAACAAATAATTTTGGATCAATATAATAAAATACGATTATTTTCTATTTAGTGAAAATTTTACCCTAAATTGTTAAGACTAAGGAACAAATTTTGCATTTAAAAAAGTTTTTTAATTGCATGGAGATGGAGATATTTTTAAAATGAAGTTATGAATAAATAATAGACATTTTAGAACTTTACCAAAACTCCCCCATTTACCTCTTTAAAGGTGGAGCATTTTTGTACAAAACAGTAAAGTTTTCCAGTTATCAATGTGTATAGGTTAGTATTACTGCAATTTGCACTAGATGGCGTTAACGCTGAATTAAAAGAAGATTTTGTTACCAACATAGGTTATATTTAAAGATCTGAATATAATTTTCTTCATTTTTGAATGTGTTGCATTTATAATTTAAGTATTTGAGTATTTAAGTGTAGTGTTTTGAGCGCTGAATACTTTAATTTTTTTATTTTCTTAATGTTTCCCATATACCCATCAAAATATCTTTCAGGACAAATCTCGGTCATAGTAGCCTGTATCAATGTAGACTACCTATTTATGCAGGAAATTGAGACATTATGTACGAACCATTACGTACGAACTATTCGATAAAAAGTGTTCTATAATACATACGTAAGTACCAAGAGAGTACCAACAAAATAATTTTATGACGCAGGACAGCACACTTTCTATTCCGTCAGTCTTATAGCCCGATGGGATAGTAATCCGACACAAATATAGAGAGATCTGACGCAGGACTAATTGCTTGACGTGTTTTTGAGGGACAGGGATGAAACACCGATAAAATCCCGACTACGGGTTGCTATTGAGAATTTCTTGATAAGTCAACAGACTTTCCTCGATTGAGTTTATTTTAATTTTTCATTTGTTTGCAGGACTATACATAACATAGATACTTACGTAATTTCATTTTATTAGTGCATTAAGATACTCAATTTTAAGTGGACATTGTAATGTTGTTTTAATTTCAAATATATTTTTAATATTAATTTAAATGTGGTGCCTCATACTGTAGAACCAATAAATGTTGATGGAGCTTTCTTATTTAGAGCAATCCTTAGCCATTGTATGGGGACCAATTGTTGTCTAAAGAAATTCGGGAGCAAATTTTGGATTACTATTTGTACTACTACTTGAGTAAGAAGTAACCTTCTATTTTGCCAGAACAGCCTACAACAGAATGAACGCGAAATAAACATATGAAGTGTTCTCTTTTTAATAAACGTTGATAAAGGTTAACGAGTTTTGTGCCTTATTGATCGGAAATTCGCAAAATCTCATTTCCTGTGGCGAAATAATTATATACTACATTTAAAATATAGAATACAAAGACATCAATATTCTTGACAAAGCATCATTTGTTATGGTACTTAATATTTCGCTTAAATTCAAGAATTTTCTTTTTGACTGGGGTTTGGGGTGTCATTCCAGTGTCAGTCCTTTATTCATTCTAAAGTAATGTAATTTTTTATATCGTCATATTTGACTTCGATAAACGAATATCTCATATATTAATTTTTTTAAAGTAATATTGTTCAATTCTTTAGATATTACTTTTTTAAGTTCCATAGGTTTGATGACAAAAATCTTGTACCGACTGCTGTTTTAGTATCCCTAATAATGTTTTATAGATTGACTCATCCCATAAAGTTCTACTAGTGTATGCCTAAAGGGTCGAAATTCAACAACATTCAATTTTTTTAGAATAAAGGTGACAAACTAGCCCACAGTCTATCCGATGGTAAGTGGATACTGTAGCCTATAGATATCTACAATTATCCTCATTTAAGAATCAAAATGCAGATACAGAGAAATTTGGGTGCATTGTCACCCCTGAGGCCTAAGATGAAATGACTCGCTTCCAGTAAAAAGGGTCTCTAGTTCTCCACATTCACCATACGAAACATAGCGACATTAAGCTGCTGTTTTACGCTTTCTTTCCCCGGTTCAACCGACCCATTCCCGCTACAATTATGTAGCTGCAACGTGGCTCTACCACTTAAAATAAATTTTGTAAGAAATTATTTGTTACAAAATTAAAGTTTCAAAAGTAAAAACGACTTTAACAAAATTAAAAGAATAAAATAATTTCTAAATAATATAATGACATCACTACGAATCCGTAACGAATTTCGTTAACGGCATCTATAATATATATAGTTTCATGGAGACTAGCCATCTGCGCAGGATAGGATTAAAGTGCCCCTATGTATGCGGAAGCACAGATGAACTCTCTATTCCCTCAATCGAGACCAACGGTTTTAAAGGCTTCCCCAGGCATGTGGATGAAACACTCCTAGCTGCTACTGAAAATTTCTTGTTAGAAAAAACTAATCTTAGCCTGACCTCGGATTCGAACCCAAGACCTCATGATCAGAAAGCGTGCTTACGACCGCTAGACCGAGGAGGTGTTTTTAATATCATGGTAGATAATTAGATGTTGTCGTGTTTATAAGCCTACACAATTCTGAAAATATGAGTAATCATTATGTGAAGAAATTGGTTTGAAATCAAAACAAAAGTATGTAACAGATGTCCATCCCTTATCTGAACCTTTTGTGAACTCCAATCAAATATTATACCCGCGTTCAATATAAAATTGCTCTCGAACTTCAAAGCTTTACTGTTGTAACTGAATATTCGATAGCTTTTGAAGCCGCTCAAAGGGTATCGATAATGGTCTCAGAAAAGAGATAATAATTATATTATATGGAGTGAAATATGTGGGTTGCTGAGCAAGTGCAAGAGTGTACTGATTGCTTATTTCTTTATTTATTTTTTCCTACATAATATATTTGTGAATAAATTGAAGTGGCAAACGAATTTACAGTCCACCTGATGATAAGTGGCCACTAAACCAACTTTAAATAAAGAAGGCTACAGATGTGTTTTCACCTCGGAGGAATGAGATGGAATGGCTCACAGTCTGTAATTATACTGGCTCTCAAACTATTCAGACCAAATCACATTCACACACTACAGTTTAGCTGCAGAAATAGGAAGGAGTATGGAAAGTATTGCACTAAGCTCAATGCTTAATTACCTCATAAGTGTCTGTTCAATAGTGAAATTTTATTCAATATAAATTACAAGT